AAGAGCAACATAATGCTTAGTAGGTACAATCTGCAGTTCTGTAGGTAGTTTCAGCAAACTACAGAAACTGCGCTGTAACAGTTGACACCAGCCTCCCCAAGGAGTGATTCACCAGGGCCCTCCTTCCTGGAGTTAAGATGTTGGGACCTTCAGTATGCTCTGAAGCTTGCCAGGATCCCACTAATACTGTAATCAAATCAAGATAACCAATCTTCCCCATTATTTCAGAAGTGTGAAAACTTGGAAGACCACCAAAGGGACTGGTCAGTCTCTGAACCAATGCCTAATTCACACTCATTTATACTGGCATCAAGAAACAGAATCTGATTGTTTATTCAAATAGCTTGGATATTGCTTGGATATTCAACATATCCAAGAACAGAGACAGACTTTGCAAATAGTGTAAAAAACCAGAGAGAATATTCCAGGGCTGTTTTATTTTCAACCTTGCTGAAAATAGCTTGAAGTATATCACCATATTGGCAGTGTACCATGAAGATGCTTTTTCAAGTCTATAATTTGTAGTGGCCTTGAAAACACATTTAATCCAGTTCATTTGGATCTAACAGTTTAACAGCATAAGTGCTATTACCTGAGATTTCATGCTTTGATTTGATATCTACAGAAAAGATTAATGCAGTCGGAAATTGCTTTCTTATCAAAATGAAGGGAATGGGGAGGGAAACACTCCTAACTTCAGCCAGCAAATGCACTCAACCCCATCCCTATTGTCGTAATAAATGCAATGGAAATTTCTAACAGCAGATGCAGATGTCCCAATATCAGTAATGCATAGTACAACTCCTCCCTGTTATAAATACTCTCAACATGTCTTATGAGTCCTTATTAAATACTGCCAAATTTCTTTTAAATGTCACCTCCTTATCATAAGTGACACACTTGGAGCTTGAGCAGACATGCTGAATGAATTCAGTTGTGTAAAGGATAGAATTAGCTTTTCTCAGCTCTACCAACTCACAGACCCTTCAAACCAGAAATAAGGCATGTGGTGGGAGGCCCTACTGCAATTCAGTTGATTTTGCTTCAAAAATAAAGAGGTAGTTCTTTTCCAGGCCACATGATTTTCCCAGAGTACTCAAGCATATGAAGGTCTGGGGTACTAGTGAGCTTGTGTGCATTGTTGAGAGAACGGAAGCACAAATACAGCACACTCATTTCTTCTACGTTTCATAACGTGTCTTCGGCTAGATGTGGGATGTTGGATTTTTACTTTGATTCTTAAAGTCATTTTGGTAATAGGATGAAACACAGGAAATGTGGATGTGAATTTTAAATTGTTATCTGCACGTTGAGGTTTATATATGCAAAAGCATATGCACATATAGTTAGTAATATCAAAATGTCATGTGCATATGATGTTCAGTGCTTTTAAACACATCCACAAGTCTCATGTAATACTCAAGAAAACGGTCTAGAGAAAATTCAGAAGTGACAACTGACAAGAGTCAAAATCAAAATGATCAAGTAATAAAAGGTTTGTTGGAACATCTACTGAAAATAAGAACTTAATCAAGATATATAATGCATTTTCAAATTACATTTCAAGTCTTTGACAAAAGAAAGTCATCTCTATTTTTCACAAGGTATCAGACTCTTTCTATCATTATACCAAATGAACCTTGTACAATCCTTTGAAAGGGATAATTTTATGACTTACACTACTGATGTGGAAAACTAGTAGCAATAACTGCTTCTAAGTAGTATCAGGTTTTGAAGTTTTAAGACAGCTTTAGAAAGACAGGATTATTATTTCACAATTTGCATTAAAAATACATGCTTTTTCTTCTGCTCTGTTGCACAGTTTTCCCCTTGTGCTCATAGCAATTAAAACCTCTTGTTTGTGAAGTTTTCTGCCCTCGCCCCATCACTTTTTTGCCTTTTTAAAAGGCAGGATAACTTGCACAAGACAGTAGGGTAATGAAGATAATTTAACTTTTCCCGAAGAACTGAGACACAGAGATGAACATCACCACAAAAGAAATACACATTGAAGTTAATTATTAAACATTCAGAATAGGCTGCAAGTAAGACATGTGATCATATATTAAGCGATGACAAGAAAATAAAGGACTGAAAAGGTGCTCACTCAGAATTAACCTTGCCTAAATGTAGCTGTCCTGAAAGCTGGATAGAAAGGCTAAGAGCCATTGAGACTCTAACGATACAAAGCAGAGAGACACTGAGAAAATAATACAGCCATAGGAATAAACTACTTTCTGAACAGGCTTATTTTTGTCCCCACCGATTGTGCCTGAAAGGCTAGTTGAGACTACTTCAGTGTCAATGCAGTACTCTGCAGATCATTTCTAACAGAGCCCTCAAAAGTAGTCAGTGGGTTTAAATTGGCTATGCAGGGGGTCCATACACCTGAAAAGGTGGGGAAAAAAAAAGTCACAGGATGACTTAGCTGGCTTTCAGAAGCCCAGCCTGAAGACTTAAATTTACCTCCTAACCACCAGCATCTATTCACCACACACAATGAGGCAGTCACCTGATGGAAAATACAATGCATAGTCATGTGTAAGAAAGGAGAAATTTCAAACATCTCATCTGATTCAAAAAGCAAGGCTAGCAAAAGACTTTTATTTTGCCCCCATAAACAAAAAAAGTAATCCAACTGATTTGATCAGCCTGTTATTGAATAAGGTGTGCAACCACGGCTAGAAGAGAATTGTTTTTTATGTATTTGGCAAAAGTTATATATATTCCTAACAGAAATGGAGCTATTAAGCATTAGAAAAATATCTGTTGCTTTTAAGTGCACAAGAACCTCATTCTTCTTGGAGGTTCACAGCAAAGAACCAGGACAATCGACACAAGCTACAGTATGGTAACTTCAATTAGGCCTTAGGGGAAAAACTTCACAGTCACAGTGGTCAAACACTGGAACAGGTTACTCACACAGGCTGTACAGCTTCCATCCTTTGTGATTTTCAACACTCAAGTGGACGTGACCCTGAGCAACCTCATCTAACTTTCAACCAGACTCATCTCTGAGCAGAGAGGTGGCCTACATGACCTCCAGAGGCCTCTTCCAATTTCAATTATTCTGTAGTTCTCTGCCCCAGCCTCAGTTCACCTAGGTTACAACAGCGATTATTTCCTCACTACAGCCTGCAAAAGCCAAGTACTGGATCTGAAAGCCAGTTTCCTCTTTGCTTTCTAAACCTGATCTGCTTGGCCAGCTGACCTGACCCATGCAACTAGAGGGCTGCACACTAGATTAGGACAAAACAGTCACACTGGCCAAATGAAGTCACTAGCAACTACAATTTATTAAATAAACAAAGAAAAGGATGTGTCAGAAAAATATAGAAAACAGCAGGGCAATAAGATAGCCCAGGAAGAAACAGGGAAGTAGAATATTGCAGGGAAAACAACAGTAAAGTCACCAGACAGAATCGTCCAGAGAATGGGTGCCCAACAGAATTGGAACTGGGCATCAAAGCTTCAAGTCAGTTATATTATATTACATAAAAATTAGGAGGGTTATTTCATAACAAGTGTATAAAGGCTGCTATCTCTCTTAATTGTCAATCCACCTATGGACCATGACCTACCACATTTTAGACAGTTACAGCCTGAGCTGGCATTTTAGAGGTTCTCACTTTGCTAATGATATCAGAAATGATCAAAGATACTGCAGAAAAAAAAAATACATTACACCCAAAAACTATGTCAAAAAATTAGGGTTCGAAAGTCAAGCTCTGAAGACTTGAGAAGTAGCAGTTAAACCCTGTGCCTTCAATTAAACCCTGTGACATAGGCTTTAACTACGTGACACACAGAATCCATCTTCTTTCAGAAGGTCACCAAGACGAACAAGAGTTCAAAACCTTGCTTTCTCCACAATTACTGTATGTCACCATGTCACTTTTAATACACATGATTCAAGCCTTGCTTTAGTAACTACAAGGAGGAGAAAATCCAGGAGAGATGCAAAAGTCATAACCAGACACTAATTTTGGCTGCCTTATTTTAGATGCAAAGCATTCTGAAAAAAATTTGGTCCTAGCTAGTAGAAGGCACAGTTCCCACAGGCCACATCATCATTACTTCAAAGCTTTAAATTTCCACACTCTTCTGTGCTTATGTGGTCTTGATAATATTCTTTTAAACACAGCTTGTGTATAATAAACGTCTAGATTGAGGTAAATTAGGTTACAGTTATGCAAGAGATTTCTCAAAGTGCCATTCAAACCAGTGGGACTCCTCAGATACCGCCAATATACGTTTAAGTGTAATACACCTTACTGAACCAGTGCTTTTACTCAGGCAAGGACAAAAAAAAAAAAAAGATAGCTCACTTTTCTCCCAAACTGCACACAGAAATAGCTCAATATTAAGAATTGTATTTTATGAGGTTTCATTCTAATGAAATCAACAGGAATTCCACTGTGCCAAGCTGCCTGTTTGGGAAAGTACTTTAGAGCATTAACCCAGACCCATCACATACTTACATAAGTATTTAAGTATTACCCTCAGCTGGAAGTGAGATGGTTAAACAATTTCACTATTCAAGTTCAAACTGTGCTACTATCTAGGTTAGCAAAATAAAGATTGACAACAAATTAGAGATAAAAAGTACACCATTCTATTAAAGTGTTTTATATGTTTATGAGAGGCAGCATGATCTGACAATTTTTGACCTGAAACCCTACTTCTGGATACAAGTAGGATTTCTTAGATGATAGATACATTTCTTATGAGAGGCAGCATGATCTGACAATATTTGACTTGAAACCCTACTTCTGGATACTACAAGTAGGATTTCTTAGATGATAGATACATTTCCTCTTGCCTCACCTCACTTTTAACAACTAAGTCTGACATCCTTTGAAGCATTAAAAAACAAAGCAAAAAACAACAAACCCAACTTGCTCTGCCCAACTTGCTACTTATAGCAAAATAATTATGGAAATTCCATGTGACTGCAGACCAAGGACCTTCACATCTAGCCAACAGGACTGCTTATGGACATGCATTGCCTCAGGAGTACATTCCCAGACAACCAGAACAAGTCACGTAAGCCTCTTCCTGACCCTCTTTACCTTTCCCTTATGGACAACTGGGAAAACCACCAAGCCTTCACCTACTCCCTCTTCAACCACATGCACAAGCAGAGAAAAAAAGGAAGAAAGCAGTCCTGGCACTTCTGAGCAGCTGATTATGAAAAGCAGCATTTTATAATGCCAGAGATCCTCAATGCAGGGAAATGAAATCACTACCATTGAGTACAGAGTTAAGGGAGGCTACCTGCAGATAGACAACATTACAGATGGACTATGGCCACACCAGTAAACCAAGCAACGCCAGGAATCACTCCCTGGAAATAGAATTCACTGTCAGACTGCTGAGCTGCCACACACCAGCACAGCATCCTTCTTACACAGGGCAGCTACAGGTCTCCCATGCAAATTTGCTGTTCTGGAAGGCAAGAGAATTAAACAGCATTGACAAGGGCTAACCCACAGCACTTAGCTTCAGAATCAGAAAATGGTCTTGGGTGCATTTCATTAACTGCAGAGAAGCAATCACAGGCTCTCCAAGCTTTATCTGCTACTATTCCTAGAGGAATATTTTAAAAGTGGCAGATGCAATGATGAAGCACACAAGCAATGCCTGATCAGCAGCACCTGACAAGTCACCTACGCATTGTAGTGCACAAGAAGAAAATTAGAAACTCGGAGAGTTCATCTTGCCTTCTTCCTGTTTCCTCTGAGTAGGCAGACATTGCATGTGAACTAGTAATTTCCAGAGTCTCATTTATTTTCTCACTTAAAAAAAAAAAGTTTTATACATTTAGAATACACGCTTACAGAAAGGCTACTCTCTAATAGAGGAGTAAGGTAGAACAGCTAAGAGAATGTACTTTAGAGTGCTGATCATTTGCCAGTAGACATTTCAAAGCGAAGTTATTTAGAAATTACTGTACTTCTAATTACTAGTCATTACCAAATATGCTTCTGTAGACTAAGAATGTAATCACTAGTGGGTTTATACTGTTATGCTGGAGCTACAGCAACGCTGGTGAATACATTTTCATAACATGTAACTGTGCAAAAACAACAAACCCCCCATATTTGACACCTGACAATACGCAGGTATTCTATGTCACCAATCTTGAAACAATTCTGACATTTCTTTACATTTTCAGTTAACTTGAAATGGTCTATTTAAAACTGCCCTTTTCATACTCTGATGCTTCTGACGCCTTTGCTCTAATGTTAGAATGTGCAATATGTCCCAGAGAAAATTATGTAAAACCCATTTGCCACTGCTTAAGCATTCATTATCCATTTCAGTAAGGACAAACAATTTTGTTTAACAACCTCCTTGGGCATGGATCTAACTTTCCAGCCATGCCTAGCTCTGACCATTGAAAATTCCCATGCTATCTGTATCTTTCTGTAAATCAACTATTTGCTTGGAAAAGTGTTTTTGTTAATTTACAAGAAAAAGTTTATTGTATGCTTTGTTATATACATATATATGTGTATATATATATATACACACACACAAGGCTGTACTGTATTTGACTTTTACAAAACAAGTTTGGAACACCATGTGGCACACCCAAACAAAAATTACACACGCATTCAAGTAGATGAAAAACAATCAAAACCAAGCGAGACGTTTATATTTCTTTTTTGTACGAGCGAGACACACACACACCGTACCGACACCGCCGGCTTCAAGAGTTGAGCAGAAGCAGCAGCCTGATGAGCAGGTGACAGCAAGCAGCCAGCTCCCCCGTGCCTCTAAGCAGCGTCCCGGAGCGCCGATCCCGGGGAGCCGGCGGGAGCCAGGCCGCCTCCCGGGACGGAACCCCGGCCGGAAGCGCGGCCCCCGCCCGCCGCCCCCACCGCCGCCGGGGGAGGAGGAGGAAGCCCCCCACAGGCGGCTCCACGGGCCCCGGGACGCGGCCGAGCGCGCCCACCCGGCTCCGGCAGCGCTCCTGCCCCCGCTGCCCGCCGACGGCTCCGGCGGCCCCGCCGGGAGAAGAGACGCCCGGCTCCCGGTGCCCACGCAGCCTCCTCGGGGCGCCGACCCCCGAGCAGTTCCTGGAGCACGGGACGGATCCCCGGGGCTAGAACGCCTTCCCGGTGGTGGGACCGCGGCCGGGGGAAGCGGCAGAGCCGTGGGCGCTCCCCGCGGTCCCCAGCACAACTCTCTCCGCGCTCCCGCCGCCCGTCCCGCCGCCCCTCGGCCGGGCGGAGCAGCAGCCGGTCCCGCGGAACTGCCGCGGCGCGACGCCGCCGCTCGCCTCGCCTCGCCTCACCTCACGGTGCGCCCGGAGCCCTGCGGAGCCCGGCGCAGCACAAGCCCGGCCTGAGCCCATCCCTCCGGGAAGTTTCCTGCCATCACAGCGGCCGGGGAAAACAAAAGCTTCAGAGCCGGGAGCGGGAGGAGAAGGAGGAAGGGCAGCGCAAACAGAGAAGTGAGGGGCATTGCCCGCCCGCCACGCCGCTGCCCTCGGCTACCGACTCCCGCGGAGGGCAGCCCGCTCAGCGCCGCCTCCCCATTTGCTTCGGCGGCGGCTCCGCTGCCCGGGCAGCGCCGCGGAACCGGCGGACCGAGGAGCAGGCAGGCGAGCCAGCGCCTCCCCCGCTTTCCTCCGTCCCTGCCTGCCCGCCCGCCGACAGCACAGCACAGCACGCCCCGTCCCGCCCGCCGCCGCAGAGCCGCCGAGCCCCGCCCGCGCCGCGGCTCCGCCTCCGGGGGCGCGCGCACGCTCCGGCCCGGCGGCTCCCGCCGCCCCCGGTGGCCGTGGGCGCTTCCCGGCGGAGCGGCCGCGCCACCCCCGTGCCCGCTCCCGCGGGCGGTGGAGGCTGGGCTCAGCCGATCCACAACCCCCCCGTATCATTTCTCATCGCCCAGCGCCGAGCAGGCTGTTCCTGTAAAGTTGCAGGCGTCTCCTTAAAAATCCAGGTAAAAGATGCTGAGGAGCAGGATTAACAAATGCAGAGGAGCGCCAAGCCTCCTGCCAGGCAGGGACGTAAATACGGTATGCGCTTAGTGGTACTGCAGTCCTGGTGTACATAAAGGGAAAATTAAAATATTTCTGAGCGTGGCTTTACTACATAGAGTTGTTCCAGCTCATTTTTAAGGACCAAGACAAGGCGTTGTGTCTCCTCATTGTCCACACAGCTAATTTGGTAAGGAGGATCTTCCAAATAGGATGTAGTTGCAATGTTAAGGTTGCATAGTATGTGGCACTGGCAGCCATATCACTTCCAAACTGGAGTAGGGTGACTCCTGATTCTGAGAAGGGCAAGGCCATAGATGATCGTTTCAGACCAAAGTCTACATGGTTCAGGGTAGCTAATGTAGTTTAAAGTAATTGTTTTAATATATTAGTATGTATTAGTGCCAAGCCTCGCTATATCGTATTAAATGGGTATAAAAGGATGCAAATTGGCATGAAAGCTATCTTTTCTCACAAAGCTTGGTGTCTGAAGGAAGAATCTTTCACAATCCGTATTCAAAGTGCATTTACCTGATTGCCAGCAAACACATCTCTCTCTACATCAGATCACAACTGCGCAAAGCGGACTCAGACCATTAAATAAGCGAATAAGGAAGCTTCTTGTTCTCCCAAATGGTTCTCTAAGGCACACAGCTGATGGGATGACAGCAGAATGCTAGCAGCTACATCTAATCAAAGCGCTGATATTGCTTTGATTTTGGAGGAGTTCAACTCTTGATTGAGTTCAGCAGCCCTGCACCCACAAGGCTATGGCTGGGAACTGCAAGGCAGAGGAAAAGCAATTCTTTCTGTCTTCTTTACAAAATTATTGACTGAGTAAAATTATTTCTTTATTCTTAAATTTTCTTTTACAAGTGGGTATGAGCACTATTTTTTGGTTGCAGTTCGCCATCACAGTTAAGTTCGGTTCTCATCGCTGTTAAGTTCTGCTGCTCATTTTGAATGCAAAAGACCTAAAGGAACCTGCGGGCTTTGTTTTTTGGGATGCACTCTGAACTCCTCTCATCTGAAATAGCCACAACTAACCTACCGTGCAGGGGCTTCTGATTTGTTTTGCTGTGGTTGGATAAAGTTTTTAAAGGGTTTTTCTAGCATAGGGGAGACATGATATATTGATTCAATTTGAAAATCCTCACATATTATCACTGCACTCCATCTTGTGGAAGAGACAACAACATGTTTTCAAATGATTCTGTAGTGGTTTGAGTAATTAAACCTAACAATGTTTGGTTCATACTGCCAAAGCAAAGAACTACATATAGCAATGGATACGAGAAATTGCTTAAGTTTTAATTTGCCTAATTGTACCCAGTGGATTTCTGTAAATGTCCCTTGGTTTTAAATATGAGCTTCACATATTCTTTGTTTTGCAAAGGAGCTTTAGGAAAGCATTCAAAGAGCCTAATTTGAAAAGAGAAACTAAAGAAGAAAACAATCTGCTTTCTATGTGAGGCTGCCAAGGAGCACTCCAGATTTGGGAGAGATTTGGGGATGGTGATCCGTTGGGAATATGTGGCTGGGGTAAAGACTGCTAAGTAAGATTGCTCTGTAGGGAACTTACTGGGTTTGGGGTTTGGTCTGTGTGGTTTTGGTGGTTTTTAATTACCCTTATATTAAGTACAATAATCCAGTTGTATCTGGACAGTGTTTTGAGGATCACTGTCTTACCAAAGAAAAAGAAAAGAAGTGATGATATCTACTCATGTATTTCTGAAACTGCCTTTCATGGTTTGTGACCTTTTGCCCCTTGATGTCTAGTGCTGCTTTGGGAAATCAAAATAGGTATTGAGGCAACAACTGTGAACCATAGCAGGGGCATAGTCATACATACCGGTGTCTGACCAGATTCAGAGAAAATTGAGAAACTTATCTGAATTCACAGCTATAAAAAGGTTAACCTTATAATAGTTGCCCTAGGACAAGCTTGAAGATAAAGCCATTTAACTTTAATGAATAACTTAAAATACAAAGGGCTAGTTATTCTAACTGTTCCTGGGGCGGAAGTAGAAAGGTTTTCTTGAAAAAAGACTGTAGAAAAGCTTAGTCATTCAGACCCAAAGAAGCAGAGAAAAACAGGTCTTGCATGGGAAGGAGTTAGGAGAAAATTTTGTTGTACAAATGAGGATCCTCTGAATTACCTCACCCCAGAAGTAGGTTCCGCAAGGAGGCTGAACTTAATTAGAACCATGAACTATGCTTTTCTTTTTCTTTTTCTTTTTTTTTTTTTCCTAACTCTCCCATTTCTTGCAGTAGCAGTAATGAAGCACTGGCCTTTTCTGTATCATTTACCAGGGAGGGGGTTGGACAACAACTTGCTGAAAGCTGGTGTGCTTTACTGCTCCAGACTGAGCTGTCTACTAAGGTTGAATTGGTCTAACTAATGCTTCAGTGCAAACAAGACCTTGAAGGTGGAGTGTCTCTGTCTAGTGTTCTAATAGTGGAGACAGGTCTCATTAATTCCTGATATATACTAAAGGCAGGCAATCTTCATTGACTACAGTGTTTGTCAGCCTTTTCCAGACTCCTTGGTCATTTTCCTGAAGCAATGACTCACTACTCCATCACTGCACTACACTGATTACATTGAATTGTAACTATTATTACAATGAAAGTAACATAATGTTTATGTTAATTCACTTTGTGCGCAACTGCCAGAATTCTTGAAGCAGTCCTCAATTGAAGGAAACCTACATGAACATTCTGGCATTATTTAGACTATTTCTGATTATACTTTTTGATGTTTTAGGAAAAAACTTGGAGCAAATAACCAGAGCTTTTTGTAAAACCATTAGTATTGTGTGAGGGGAAATCAGGACATTACTGCTCTTGAGTATCTACTCCAGTTCAGCCTCACAGATTTTTTTTTTCTTACAGAACAGGCCAAGAGTAATCTTGGGGCAGGGGTAACAGGGAAAATTCCGCAAAATGAAGTCTACTTTTTCAAAGCATTCAGCATGAATGATAAAACAATGCAGTTAGGTTTGGGGTTTTTTCTAACAGTAACAAGAAAACATGCAGATGAACAGAACAGAAGTTAAGAGAATTTATATTTGCATTTATTTTATTAAGCAGAGAGTTGTACGCAATCCCAGTAGAGTCTTGAGTTTCAAAACTGCCTCTGAACTTTGTGCCCAGGAGAGAAGAGATCTCAAAATGTAGTTTCTGCTATGTGCAACATAAAAAAACCCTTATCATCCTTTTTGCCTACTTTTTTCTTTGTAATAGAATGAATTTGAAGACATGAAAAAACACAGTATAGTGTAACAAGGAAGAAACAGTACTGAGATCTGACCTTGGTGGATTATTCATGTGCTTGAAGTTACACAAGTATTTTGTTCTGCTTACCACAGTGACTGGAGCAAGGGAAGAAAGACTGGGTGAGTAAGGATTATAGTGGAAAAACAGGCTGCTATTTTGAAATGGAAATTTATGACATTGACCTGAGCATTGGTGCAGAAGGCTGATGAATTGGAGCTGAGTTTGAAATGTAGCACGGAAATGCTTTCACACCTTTTGTCTAGAAAAATTACATTCTCTAGAGCTGTGTTTACAGTGGAGCACATATCAACTAATCATTTCCTCACAGCTTCGTTACTTTGTTTTCTATCCTGTTTTCACTCTGAGAGGAAGAGAGAAAGAGAAAGCATGCCAACAAATTTTTTTTCTCATTGCCAAGCAAATACGAGATAGTTTAGTATACAATTTCAGGTATTACCACACATTCAATGTCTTTTGTCCTCTTTTGGCCATCTGACTGCTATTGAAGTAATTCCTCTTTTATTTCTTATAGCAAAGATGAAAAGATGGTCAACAAACCTCACAAATTCACCTGCCTCTCAAAGGCCATTTGCTGCTCCAGTTGCTACTGTTTGCCTTTGAAGCAAGATAAACCAAAGCTCTATTGCATCTCTGCACGATCTACACAACACAAAAAGAATGTTTTGAGAAAATTCAGCTTTCATTTTCCAATCTACAAGACCCTGCAATGTTTGGACTGTAACTTAAGTAACTTAAATCCTTCAGTAATTATGATAATTTAAGGAGCTGGGGTAAGTGGAGGACATAGCACAGAATAGTCTCCAGTGTGATTTTTTGTTCAATTTTGAGAACCATGTATATTCATCCCATATCCTAGTTTTAAGAAAGGAATGAGACTCACAACATTTCTCTTCATTTGAACTCTCCCATAATAGAACCAGCAAGCTGCTTCTTGCAGTTAATATGCTGGATGGGAGGCTATGTCCAGTATTACAAAAACTGATTAACTCTTTTTAATTTATTTCCTTTTGTTATGTCATCCAGGAACCAGGATGAGATCCAGCACACAACATTTCCTGAATTTTCTAGACAGAAACTATAAACTTCTTTCCCCCTCTCTGCCCTCCCTTCCTCCCAGTTCAGTGTTTACCAAGCTGCCATGATTAGGGTGTAATAAAAGAAGTGTAGTCTTTTCCCCATTCCAATTACATCTGTGCCTGGGTTTGGAAATTTGCTATTGTGTCACTTTCAGCCTAGATTTATACCTACTTCAGTTACTTGATATAATTTTCAGTAGGATCTCTATGATACATATTGGTGTCTGTTTCAAAACTTTTTTTTTCTTTTTTTTTTTTTTTTTTTTTTTTCGATATATTGGGGTTAATTTTTGAAATCAGTTACTTGATATAATTTTCAGTAGGATATCTATGATACATATTGGTGTTTCTTTTTTAAAATTTTTTTTTTTTTTTTTTTTTCTGATAACATAGGAGTTAATATTAGCAATGATAGTTTTCAGGAAATCCTTTGGGATCCTTACATTACAGTCTAGTGAAACTGGCTAGAATGATTTTGCAATGTCTTTGTGAAGGAGGCTATCTACAGTGTAGTGTCTGAGTGTGTCCAGTTTTTTGTTCAACTACACCCTAAGAAAAGAGTAACAAAATAGGACTTCTGCCACAAGCACCTTTCTTTTGTCATGGCACAAATT